CCATCCACTCCTTTTTAGCACCTTCCTTCCCTTTGATAGTACTCAGTTGATGTTTTTCTTGATCACCCTGAGAATTAAGATTGTAGACATAGGTGATCAGCTTCACCTTAATCATAAGGCAGCAATATTCAGAAATAATTGGAAAAGATTCCCAAGTGAATACATATGCTACATTTTTGCTTTTGATATGGACACAAAACAAAATTAAAATGGATGCTTAAAAATGAAGGAAATAATATATATTTTACTGGGAATGTCACTATTTCCAGATAGTAACCTCATCTTGTAGACAACTGACAATCTCCCACTGCTTATTGTCAATCTCAACTGAATACTGGATAAAGTGAGAGGAAAAAAGCCTATGGATCTTTGGCATCCTATTTACCCAAGCCAACGATCCTAAAAGTAGTGTGTTTGTTTGTATAGGAGGAAGCAGCTCTATTTTTCAAGGGGGTCTTTACGATTCTAGCTACGATTCTAGCTCCTAGTTCCACTCCTTCCTCTCGAGCAGGTCCCGATCCTCTGGGAGGAATTTGTTATAGCTGGTGAAAACTAGGCTGTCGACAACCTCCCAGAGGGCTTTTTCAGCTACCGCTCCCAAATTATGGAATGGCCTGCCGGATAAGATCTGTCAGTTGACAACTTTAAGCAGCTTTAAAAAGGCTGTTAAGATGGATCTCTTCTGGCAGGCCTTCCCTGATTAGATTTCCTGGCCTCAGGAGTCCCTTTATCCCTCCTTTATTTGGCTACAATTACTGCCCCACCTACTATTTGTTTATTTGTTGGTTATGGATTGTTTTTAATTGAGTGTCTTAATCATCTTGTTTTAACGTTAAAATTGTTTAATTCTCTTTTAAGGGGTGGGAGGTTTGTGGGATTTTGGATTGTATTTTAATATTGTATGAAGTTTTAAACTGTTGTGAGCCGCCCCGATTGCTTGACAGAGGGGCGGGATATAAATAAAACTTATTCTTATTATTATTATTATTTTCTCTTTTTAATTATTTTTACTGCTTTAAATTGTTTTAAACTGTTCCAACTGATTTTACTGTATATCAACCTGAGATCCTTGGATATGGGGTGAGATATAAATAATTCAATGAAATAAATAAAATAAATAAAAATACATGTATACAACCTCAACATGTATAATACCAGTTTTGACTCCCTCCCCAAACTGTACAATTATCCAACCTACAAAAAAGCACAGAAATACCTTTTTTTTAAAAAAAAAATAAAAAGTGGCTGCTGAATTTATTTATTTTTTATTTTTATAGTAAGTGACTTGAAAGTCCCATTTAGTTTATCAGGCAGAGCACAATTCCTTTGCTGCAGGATATATATATATATATATATCACAGATCTTTATTTATTTGTCATCAAAAGTTATACCCCACCCTTTCTCCAAAGTGGTGACAACCAACCTTAAAATTCTCACAAATCTACACAAAATCCACTTAAATAACAAGAGCAAAACTCAGCATTGATAACATCACTGAAAACAGATTGAAAACAATAGATCCACATGGCAATGAGAGAGAAAAATATGCTAAGAATAAAACTCCAGGGTCACAAACACTTGCTGAAATAAAAAATATCATAGTCGCTCATCTAAACGTGATCAGTGATGGAGCCAGGGAAAACCTAATTTGGAAAGAGGCTCCAAATTTGGGAAGCCATTGCTGAAATCTCACTATCTTGACAGACACTTACTATATCTCTGCTACACGGAGGTAGGGCCTCAGAATCAAAATGAAGCTGCAGGCAAGTTTTTGTGCAGGAAGCCACTTAAGATATTGTGGTCCCAGGCTGTTTAAGGCTATTATTGCAAATGGCAATTAAAATAAACCCTGTATGCATGTAATGACTAAAAAAAATGGAAGCTCCATTTCTCGTTACTGTTTTAGCAAAAGCTTTTGCCCTTCCTACCTGGATTGGTGTACAGTTCACTCTCCACTGTCTTTCCAATGCACTGGAGTTTCACAGCTTGAAGGGATTCATCTGCATTGGTGATGGTTGGCAAGCTTCCCAGAGTATCACGCACCAAATTTGCCACCTCCCTCACATCAAAAAGTTTTAGTAGCTCTGAGTATACAGCTGGAAAGGAGTTCAGAAAGACCACCTAAGAAAGCAATAAGAAGGAGAAAAGAACTTCAGAGGGGCAAAAATATGGGCTAGGAAACAAATATTTAAGAGAGGGATTTTACTTGGACTCTACTATTACGTTCTTAGTTTCTCTACTTTACCAGAAAAACCAAACTTTGGAGATCCCTCTACTCTTTTCTTCTTTCATGGAAGTGATTTTAAATGCATTATTATTGACTAATTATGATTTTGAAAGGGAATAGAAAGATAAAATGATTGTGGTTCAGAGGAATGAGAAGGGCTCTACATTATTATTATTATTATTATTATTATTATTATTATTATTATTATTTGTTTAAAGGCTAACTGGAGAGAGGATATTAGGGTGGAAGGCTGACAATATTCTTGGAAGACACCGGAGAACAAAATGAACTCATAACTCTGTAAGCCTGACCAAAAGCTTGATGGAGCTTGATTATTGCCAGATGCCAAATCCAACTTCTGTCATCAGCAAATTGACAGAATAAGATGACAGCATATTATGTCATTGTAGCTGAAAGCAAACCAACAGCATTAATTTATCATATTAGAAGCAAGACTACATATGTATTAACAAACATACATATACGCAATGTGGATATAGCAGCATCAACATGATAAGGCAGCAATTTGGGGGGAGGGGAAACTCACTTGAGCCTGAGATAAAGCACTAGTCCCCTTGGTTTCTTGGGAAAGGAAGAATCGCACAGACATCAGCAGCTCTTGAATGCAACAGCAGAATTCCTCCTCATTTTGTCCACCAGTAGCAAGAGAGAACAGCTTCCGAGACTGGACTATATACTTAAATATATATTCTTGTGCCTACGAATTTCAGAACATACATACAGGAAATTACATTGTTCCTTTAAAAACAAAAGAATTTAAAACTATTTTTCAGACCAGCCTAAATGCTCAGTATTATGAGCAAAAATAAGAGAGACAATGAACTAGTGTACACCAGAAAGAAACAATGCTTCACTCTTCTAAAAATGAAAACTACTATAAGAAAAGTATTGTAAGCTAGGGGGAAATGAAGCCTGGGAAATGAAGAGATCACCAAAAGGGATCTCTTGTCTCTGTGGTTAGCAATTATCCATGAGATGGATACCTGTTTCATTATAGCCTGTATATGGCCCAGTATACATCTACTGATGTGATGTATTTTGTCATATAATTATGGTATGTGGTTACCCATACTGAAGGCCTTACTAGGTGTGAAAAAAGATTCAGGATCCAGTCCACGCAGCTTCTGCTTGGGGAATGGTGTGTATGTGGGAAGGATTCTTGTCATTTGCCTCAGGCAATAAAAATCTTAGGACAGCCCTCAGTGTGCACATGAGGAACATGATCTTAATTTTAATATGTCAGTTTAGATTCAACTTATGCATTTGCAGAAGGCATTTCCACGTGCTTGCACATGACAGTTCTCATCATGAGATATAATCTTCCTGCAGCTGCAACCTCTCCTAAAAACTGACTCTAGAGAGTACCCCAAGATTCAGAGTGTTTTTGGAGTGGTCAGTGGTCTGTCAGAAGAGACGTGGGAAGATGTTCTTGCCTAAGAACATGTAACTTTACACTACTTTTGATCTCAATCATGTTACCATCATCTAGCATGAGCTAATATTTCTACAGAAATACACCTGGTGCTTTTCACATATTTTGGACTACATAACTGTCCATGCAGGGATCAACAAAGTTGTACTCAAACACACCTGGACAGTATCATTTACAGAAGGCTGAATAAGATGTTGCTTGGCTATATCAGTTACACCTCAGTAAACAGATGCGATGGAAAAACAATGTGAGGTATTTAGTTGCCATTTATGTAAATCCCACTGATTTCCTTGAGTCTACTATAGTTGGGACTAACAATAAGTTTAGCACATTGTCTCTGTCTTCAATGTGCGCCAATGGAGAAATTTCTCAATTTTAGTTTCACTCAACTTCTCATTTTTTCATTCTCATGCTTGTCCCATCCTGTTTCTTCATCAGAGGTTTTTCCCCAGTTTCCACAAAAACTGGTACATATTTTTGCACACATTTTTTGAAACATTTGTGTTTTCATACACATTTATATGTATTTTAATATATGCATTTTAATGTGCTCATTTTTCAAATGTAAGGATTCCCCCCCCAAGTGACTTTGATTAAAAAAACAACTGTGTATAATTTTCAAAACATGCAAACTTTTTACATGCACTAATTCAAACACACAATTTTTTGTATTCATTTTTTGTGAACTGCATCATTAACAAGAAAAGTCTAGTTTATATAGTTTATGTTTAGATTTGGTAAGTGTGAATTTTGGTAAGTTTGCACTGGAATCCACACTAATCTCATCCCTAGTTACCTTTAATACTTCCTGGTTGTGTGCCTGTCTTTCCACTTCTGTTATTCGATCTACATGCCACTTCAACACCTTTATGAGGTCTCTAGAATATAAAACAAAAAACTTATTTCCAAGCTGAACTGCTGAAAACAATATATAAAATATCTGAAGCCCACATTAGATTAGAATAATCTAATTTATAGAGCTCTTTTACATATTTATTTTATTGTATTTACAAATCATCACTCTTTGCAACCACTACTTGAGGTACTTTACAATAAAACCATAAGAATAATAAAATACATTTGGGCCTAATGTCCATAGTGTATCCACAATGAACATCCAAGTAATAAATAATTGGGACTGTTTTTGACATTAGCATGTGTGGGGTGGTGTTTGCTTTTAAGTCACTTCCAATTCATGGCGACCCTAAGGTAAACCTATCCCTGGGTTTTCTTGGCAAATTTCTTCAGAGGGGTTTGCCATTCCCATCCTCTGAGGCTAAGAAACTGAGACTTGCCCAAGGTCACCCAGTGAGTTTTCATGACAGAACAGGGATTTGAACCCTGCTTTCCAGAGTCATGGTCCAATGCTCAAATCACTACACCACACTGGCTTGCTCTTTTTCTTCAAATAATTAGTATAAGTGGGAATTAACTTAAGCATCTGTACATGAGGATAGATCTTCATTCCAAGGTTTAAGGGGGGAAGCAGACGAGGGCGTCCAGGACTCCGCAACACGGTGCACCGGCCGCGTCCCTGGAAGGAGCACTAAATCAGGGAAAGTGCACCCTAGACAGGGAAAGTGCACCCTAAAAGCGTTGGGCACACTTTCCCTGTCTTTTCCACCGCAGCGCGTCTGGTCACTGCAGCGGGAGGTTGCTCCCGGAGCGCCGGCCATGCGGAAGGCCGGTGGCTCCGAGGACGACCTCAGGGAGAGGAAGGAGCGCCGCGCGTGCGGCTGCTCCTCCTCTTCCTGGCCTCGGAGACGGCTCAATTAGCCGTCTGCCGAGGCCCTAAGACACATAGGATAACTGGGCTGAAAGATAATTGGACACCCAATGGCTTTTGATAGCCTACTTATATTTTCTAATATCTTTAGGCCTCAGCCGTCATGTTCGTTCTAAACTATGTTTGGTTTAACTATCGTAAGCCACCTTGAGTCTCAAATCTGAGGGAAAGTGGCATTTAAATAAATATCATCATATCATCATCATCATCATTTTTGAAAGGGTATATATGAACCACAAACACTTTGCTTAGAGCCAGATGACTGACTGATATGAAATGGAATTATTAGAATCAAGCCGACTGAAAATTGTTAGAGCTATTTTTCTCAAGGCAAAGCAATTAATGTTGATGTATGTCTTTTGTCTACTTTCAGTCATTTAAAGAAGATAATCAGTAATTGCCCGTTTAGGTATATTCATATATACTTCTACCTGTATGCAAGTGCTCCTGCAAAGTGACTTTCAATGTAGGTGTCCATAACTGGTTTAAAATGATGGAATTTGCTGTCCTGCAGCAAGTTAATTATATGGACCTAAGAAAAACAAAAATGTTTATTAGTTTCAGGTTCCTACTGTGACAGCTTCCAAAATTAAAACAATACCAAAAGGATCAATGAAGTATATCTTACCAAACAATCAAATACTTGGGAGCCATATTTTTGAGAATTTTCATCTAAAATTCCAAATAAAGTGTCCAGTGTATCTTGAAGAAACTGGATAAATGAAAAGTAAAGAAATACATATCTGCAAATGTTGTTTGGTTTTCTGTCACATGCAAAATAAAAACAAAATGTGAAAAAAGACTGTACCTTGACAATTTCTGACCCATCAATTTCTTTCAGTTTGGAGAGGCAGCCTGCAATTTTTTCTGGATGGGTTCGCCACTTGAGAAGATCAAGCATGTCCCCTACACAGCAAACATTCAAGATGGCACAAATGGCACTAGGTTAAAAATGGGTTAACATTAATTTTAGAAAGAAGGGGAGGGGAGGGGAGAGATAATGGATACAATCCTGCAAAACTGGCAATAAAGTCATGAAATTACAATATAGTATGTGTGAATTGTATTGTATTGTATTGTACTGTATTTATATATCACCTTGAGTCTGAAAGAGTTCCTGAGGTGATGCACAACAAATAAAGGTATTTAAAACAGTAAAAAAATTGTAAAATAAAAATTAAAAACACATTAAAATACTCTTTTAAAAACCACATTTAAATATAACTTTAAAACAATTAAAACAGCGTCAGACACCAAAGGCCCTGCAGAACAACAACAGATGGAACCAGCCCAACCTCCTTGGCAGAGAAGTCCATAATAGGGGTGATGCTACAAAGAAATGCCTTTATGTGTGCATATCAACCGAACATCATGAAGTGTTGGGACATGCAACAGGACTTCCTGAGAGGATTTCAAATTTCAGGAAGGTTCACATGGGAGAAGGCAGTTTTTCAGATATCCTGGCCCCAAGTAAGTGAAAACCACAGTTTGAATTGAGCTTGGAAGCAAAGTGGAAACCAGTGCAATTCTGTTAAGACTGATATTGCATAATCTCTATAATGCACATTTGATACCAGTCTGCCTGCTACATTTTACTTTGTGTGGTTTTCAACCTTTACTCTTCCAGATGCTTAAGATGTCTCAGTTAGTATGGCCAATGGTCAGGAAGCTGGAGTCCAAACATCCAGAGGAGCAAAGTTGGAGAACATTGGCTGTAAGTACTAACTTGGGGGCTAACTCCCATTGAACCTTATGAGATTTACTTCTGAAAATGGCAAGTATAGGATTGTTGTGCTTTTTTGCTCTGTGCATTTAAGTGGGTCATAGGTATGTTGGTGTATAACACCCAACTTTGAAGTAACAACTAGAGCAATTAACCATTCATAACAAAGCTTAAAATGTTAATTAAAATTCCCACTATTTGAGTCATTACATTCAAAATATTAGAATATATTAATGTTTATCTTACACATTATCTTATGAATAACACATTAGTAACACGCTACTGACATATAGTTTTAAGTAATTTTTTAAAAAAGAATAATAAACCTTTTAAATTAGGAAAATTGCCAGTCCCAACCCAACCATTGCCAGAATGTAACAATAACATCTACAAAGTAACATGTTGTTTTTAACACCTTACTTCTAAGGTCAGGGGTTCATTCATCAGAAGTCATAACAATACCCTGATATCTATCAGAATATTTTATCTATGACTAAATAAGTTATAAAAGAAAAACTAAGAAACAGATAACAATAAATATTAATTTCTGATTTCATGGTTCTGCTAGTTTAAAAAATGTGCTTCACTAAACCCATACCAGTTTGAATTCTATGCACCCATAATCCCACAAATCTCTTTCTTCACTATCTGATGATAATCTCCATCTTGATAAAGTTAATAACAGAACATATTATAGCATATCTTAATGTTACCAAGCCCAATATTCCATTATTATTGTTTATACTATTTTAATCATCAACATGCTATGTTACCATTTTGAGTGAGTTTAGTTGAACACAGGAAAGACGTAATCCAGAATGATTCCTTAGTGGTTTTTACTGCTTGGTGGTTGTTTGCAAGGAGATGTCCCTTTGAAAAGGGGAATTTGAGGTAGCGACTAGAATCCTGAAGACTAACATTTTCTTCACACTGGGAGAACAATTAAATTAAATATACATTGTAACTCACTTCATAATAATGAAATAAAATGAAGAATAAAACTGTCACATAAAAGTGTTTTTCAATAAAACAATAAAATCTGATAATTACCCCTCTCTTGGGTTATTTCAGCCTACTGTTCTTAGACTTTACTATTCTCTTTCAGACCTAATGCCCCTAAGTGAACTTCTCAAATGTGATGGCCATCAGTACATTTACACACAGGAAACACTCAGTTCCATGTTCAATTTCCATCAAGTTCCCATTGTCAACCTTCACAAGGACTTTGCAATGCCACATAGCTGATATCCTGAAATTGCTTCCTCAGAACCCTCTTTCCACAGCACTGATCCCCAAATCCTTGCCTATTGCATCTAAACAGTGGTTCTATTAATCAATTTAATGGTTATAGTTGGCGCTTATGTATTTAAAATGTGCTGAACCAGCTCTGCTACATTGATCTTTCTGTTGAGTGGGGCTCTGGACCTCTGCGCCAAAATCTTACTTCAATAGCACTACTGCAACTAAGCCTACATACATTGAACTGAAATAACTACTTCTCCATTTGATTCATGCCTTCATTTCCTTTCCCTTCTTTAGTTGTCTCCTTTTTCTTAATTATCTAGCTTCCAAGTCCCTTCGGACAAAGGCTTGTTCTCTCATTCTGTGTTGAACATCACATGCATGGTAATAAGTGCTAAATAAAACAAACAGAGGTTTAAGTATTTTGAACTTTTAAAAAACCCATGAACCCCTGGAAGCAAAATATAATGTTGCTTCTTCTGTCACATGATGTTATTATATGACTGGAAAATATAAACCTTTTGAAAACATTTGATGTTGGCTTTGAAAAGATTCTATACAGGGAGACAGTCAATCAATACCGGGTGCTGCAAGCTGTATTTCAGAGGAAGGAATTAGCAAATCCATCTCTGAGAATTCATTGATAAGAAAACCCTATGGAATTTGTGGAAGTGCCATTAAGTCGACAAGTGACTTGTAGGCACACACATATATTTAATTATAGGAAAATAAAGTAACCGATAGTGGTAAATCAAAACAAACTATAAAATTTCACAAAGAAGGATTGCAATCTGTATAATACAGAGCATAAAGTCAAAAGAACAATATAATTTAAATGAATGAGCTACTAGCTGCCAGCCCACTTGTAAAAAAGCAAAAGTCATATTATTGTGCTTCTTATATTAACCCATTCTAGAACAACAATACCGTATTTTCCGGCGTATAAGACGACCCGTGTATAAGACGACCTCCCATTTTTCCAGTCAAAATATAGAGTTTTAGCACCTCTATCCTCATTATCCTTATATCCGGCATATAAGACGACCTCCCCACTTTAGCCACAGATTTTGCAGGTAGTCTTATACGCAGGAAAATAAGGTACTCAATACTTTCAAAAATGCTTTTAGTGTTTTAATTTCTTATTTTAGGCTTGTGGTTGTATGTCCAGACTGAGCTATACAATACATTTTTTCAGGTTACACTGAATCACAGTTTAGATCTGTGGGGAAAATATCACAATGTTTTACATTATTAAACTGACGGTTTAGTTGACCACATATGCTGCTACCAGATGTCCCTAAATGTTTTTCTTTTGTTCCAAAAATATGCTCAAAAACACAACATAGTTGGGAAAGTGACATGCATAGCATAATCTTCATTTAAAAAAACAACAACCTCATAAATCTTAAATAGTTGAGTCAATGCCAGCCTAAAACATCCTGCCATCCATTATAAAAAAGAGAGAATACAATCACCTTTCTCATGACTCATATAACTAATAAAAGGAGACATTTGTTTATTTGTTTATTTATTTATTTATTTCTCTGCCACCTTTCTCCCAGAGCAGGAATCAAGGGGCCTGCCAAAGAAAGTATATGATAAAAGTATATTTTAATAGTATCTTTTAAAATATCAAAATG